CTCTGTAGCTAACAGAGATTCTAGGAATGGTCAGTCCCGCAACGTATCCTTGGGTACTAGGATATTAAATCCAATCTATCTCGTTGATTATCTGATTGAATCACAAGGTAAAGATAAGAATGAGGATTATATAACAGAATCTATACATATAAAATGTACTAGTAATTCCTGTTATTGTACTCATGTACATGTGATCATGTGACCATATCTATGTAATAGTATGGTAAGGTACTGTAATGTTCTAGCTGTAGTGTACGTGCTCTCTATCTAACAAGTATAGTAATATACTGTAATGTTCTAGCTGTATGATACGTGCTCTCTATCTAGTAAGTATAGTAATGTACTGTAATGTTATAGCTGTAGTGTACATGCTCTCCATCTAGCAAGTATAGTAATGTACTGTAATGTTCTACAAAGTATGACTCATGAATGAACTGATTCATTGTATAGTATTGCGTTCTATTAATAGTTCTAGTATCTTCCTAAACTACCCATATGGTAGCTTACTAGTAATATAACTAGTACGTATGAACATAGATGTATACCCTTGCTACCCAAGGGCATTGGATGAACTGGAAGGGCCTTTATGACTATATATGTACATATGATATATAACTAATATTTAAACGACCTTCAGACGGATACCTGATATCCCACCAGACCACATCCAAATCGAGGAAAATGAAATAGGGTGGATAGCCTTCCTAAGTCTTTTAAAAATTTCTTATATATCTATACATATATAGGCATGCAATTGATAATATAAAAGCATAAAATAAGTTTTGTAAAACCTTTGAACATAATTATTATCTAAGAAAAGATCGACTTGATTCCAGTCTATAAAACGGTTTGAAGGCATGGGTTTGATAAAACAACTTTAGTATAAGGAAACATTTGTTTGAATCACAATTTTAAATAAGTTTGAAGTAAAACATACAGAGTAAAATGTACAATGTAATAAGGAGTTTTAAACACATAAAGTGTCTATGAAAAACATTTGAAGTAAACTATTTGGTAAAATGGCTAATGAGTAGCCAACCATTTGAATGCTGCTTATTAATCACATGTGATTAATATAATAATTAGCGTTATTCTACTTGTATCCTCCCCCCCCCCCATAAAACATTTAAAAATAGTTAAAACATTGATTAAGGGGTAAGAACTCACATGTAGTAAGTGGATAAGAAGGATGGGTCGGATAAGTGCTTGGTGTCAAGTGAAGACTTAGACATGCACAAAGATCCTAATAACATATAAGGATATATGTATATACACAATTAGTCTTTAAAAAACTAATAAACAAAGTTAAGAGACTCTAGGACATGCTAAACACTTTATACGAGTGTTATAAGTCTCAAGGGTTGCATCTAATTGTTGTAGGGAAAGGCTAGTGTGTTTGGGGTTCAAGGGTAAACTCCCTTGGAGTTTACAGTTTTCATGAACATTACCCAAGGAGTTTACGGTAGTAAACTCAAGGGTTTACGGTCGTAAACTCTACACTTTATGACCATTGGTTGTTTTGAAGACTACTCAGCTATTCCAAGCATTCCTACTTCATGATTTAGCCTTAGGAAGTGTTGTGTGGCATCAAAACACTCCTAAATGGAGTTTACGGTCTAAGGACCATTTCACCATGAGTTTACTACCTTAAACTCATGAGTTTACTACCTTAAACTCATAAGTTTGGTATTTGGCAGTTTTCAAGTCCTTAGCTCAAACATGGCAATAGTCTAGGTTAGATTTAGACATAGGGAACAACCGTGGGACATTTATGGGACTTTTACACCTCTTTTGAGGTGTTTACGGTTTTGGGACATCCCCAAACCGTAAACACATAAAAATATATGATTTTGGTGATTTTAGTGTGATACACCCATCAATGATGGATCTAGACAAGTCCCTAAGGCATTGTGAAGCATCTAGACTCCCTAAAGCACCCTAAGGCCCTATATTGGGTTTTTACGGTTTTGGGAGCCTCCCAAAACCGTGAACACATTGTTATTGGTGTTCTTGGGACTTTTCCTTGGTATAAAAACGTATAGTAAGCTTAAAATGACTCTAGGATAGAAGTACTTACATAGAGGAAACTTGAAATGAACTTTTAATCCAAGAACACTTAGTATGTGTTCTTGGTGTTCTTGGTGTTTTTGGAAACTAATCAAAACACAAAAATGGATGGATTAAAGGATGTACAATCACTAGGTTAAGTGATATACTAAGTTGAAAGGGCTAGAAACACTTACAAGATTGAAGATTTTGAAAAAAAAATTGGATGATACTTGAGAGGATATCTTGGAGTTTACTCTTTTGACATTTGGGGAGTAAACACAAATGACTAGCTTTTTGGGGAGTAAAGTCATACATAGGTATAAGTTCACGGTTTTTGGGTGATTTTTCAACCCAAACATAAAATTTTGGTCGGGAATTTCTAAGACGCGAAGTGTTGGCAGTTTTTAAAATTCAAAACCCGAGACGACACTTTCTTTCACCCGTTCGCTTAAAAATAATATTAAAATAATCAAACGAACTTTATATTTCTTAAAAATTAGAAATAATGACATTGACTTATGACACAAAGTAGTTGTCTTTTAGGGTTTGACTGAATGGAAATTTCGGGTTGTCACAGCCAACCCAAGAAAACTTCGAACTTCTGATGGGGTTCTTGGTGGTTCCCATTTTTCAATTGCGTCAATCTTTGCTGGGTCCACCTTGATACCATGTTCGTTTAGAACATGTCCCAAAAGCTGGACTTCCTGAAGCCAAAACTCGCACTTCGAAAATTTGGCAAATAATTGTTCTTTCCTTAATAAACTAAGTGCTAGCCGCATATGTTGTTCATGGTTTGCCTTACTTTTAGAGTATCTCAATATGTCATCGATAAATACAATTACAAACTTGTCTAGGTATGGCTTGCACACCTGGTTCATCAGATCCATGAATGTAGCTGGTGCATTGGTCAATCCAAATGGCATTACTAAAAACTCGTAATGACCATACCTAGTTCTAAAGGCTGTCATCGACACATCTTCTTCTGTGACTTTCAGCTGGTGATACCCCGACCGCAAATCGATCTTTGAGAAGTAACTTTCCCCCTGGAGTTGATCGAATAGATTATCATTTCTCGGTAATGGATACCGGTTCTTTATGGTCACCTTGTTTAACTCCTTGTAGTCAATGCACATTCGCATTGTCCCATCCTTCTTCTTGACGAATAGTACTGGTGCACCCAACGATGAGGTACTGGGCCGAATAAAACCCTTGTCGAGCAAATCTTGCAACTAACCCATCAACTCCTTCATTTCGGTTGGTGCTAACCGATAGGGCACACGAGCTATCGGTGCTATTCCTAGGGTAAGATCGATTCAAAAATCCACTTGCCTATCCGGTGGCAAGCTAGTTAGGTCATTTGGGAACACATCTTGGAACTCGCGTACAACTCGTATATGTGTTATTTCAGGCTTGTCCTACTTGGCATCGAGAACATATGCCCAATAACTTTGACACCCTTTCTTTAGATAACGATTTGCCTTAGTCACTGATATCAAAATAGAGTCCTTAACTCGCCGATCACCGTAAATCTTTACCATTCCTTTTTCTGGCACCCAAACTTGAACAATCTTATTTTCACAATCTATAATCGCTTGGTTTTTCGACAACCAATCCATCCCTATAACAATATCAAAATCACCTAGGGCTATAGGTAATTGTTTTAATGGTACCACACTACCTTCTATTTCGATAGAGCAATCATCATATTCCTCTCTTACTACTACCCAATGATCGTCAGCAGTTTCAATTTCTAAGGCATGTTCTAGAGTCTTTGCATTTCTACCCAGGTTTTTGCAAAAAGTAGTAGACACAAAAGATCTATTTGCACCAGAATCAAATAATACCCTTGCATGAACTAAGTTTACTAGGAAAGTACTTTTCACCAAATCCGGGGTTTCTTGAGCCTCCTGAGTCTTCATACGAAAAGCTTTAGCTTTTGGTCTACCAATGTCAGCCTTTTTATCCGTCGACCGATTGTTTGTTATCCTGCCTTGATTGTTGTTAGCTTTACTCTGCGGACATTCCGACTTAATGTGGTTAGGGGAACCACACCCGTAACATACCCTTCCTGTCTTACACTCTGTGGCTATGTGACCTGGCTTCCCACACTTGTAGCAAACTTTCTGATTCATGTTACACTCCCCCTTATGATGACGGTTGCATTTTGGACATTGCTTTATTCCAGAGCTTTGATCAACCTTACGTTCTTGCCCTGAAGTCTTTCCTTTCTTCGAATCATTATCGTACCATCCCATTTTCTTTTCCCCAAAGCCCTGTCTTCACCTTGACGATTCTTCTCACATTTGCGACCTTCTGCAGCATCAACAGCAGACTGGAAAGTACCCGGTTTTTGAATTTTCACAAATTCACGGATAATTGTTCTCAATCCCCATATATAGCATTCCACCCTTCTTTCTTCTGTAGAAACGTAAAATTCGACAAACCTAGCTTTCTCCGTGAACTTAGTGGTGTACTCTCGCACATCATATTCCCCTGTTCCAACCTCAAGAATACTTCCTCTAACTGTTTAACCATTGTACGAGGGCAAAACATTTCTTTGAAAATTCTTAGGAACTCATCCCATGACATATTCTTGGCCGCCTCACGCCCCCTAACTTCCTTCACCATGCCCCACCAATGTATTGCCTCCCCTTTTAGCATTGTCGCAACATAGATCACCTTGTCCTCATCCGCACACTTGCTAGTATCGAACGTTCCCTCAATCTCCATGACCCATGTTGATGAAAAAACAAGATCAATTTCTTCGTTAAAAATGTGTGGCTTGTAGTTCATGAATTTCTTGTAACTAAAACACCGACGATCGTGGTTGCCATGATGCCTTGTGGGTTGTGTAATACTTGGTTCACGACTCAGATTGGTGTATTGTACTCGTAGTCCTCTTCACCTCCACCCAAGTTACCTTCATACTCACCCATTATTGCTTCTCGTGCCTAAGCAGCTACATCTAGTAAGGTGTCTCGAATTGCTCGAGCAATCTCATCAGCCAACTCTTCTCTAGTGATCGTGTTTGCCGAATGACCCCTTCCATGACCTCGACCTCGACCACGGTGGGATCCGGAGCTACCATGGGCTGATGGTATAGGTATCGGTGCTGTAACAGCGCCTCAGCCTCTTCCTCTACCCCTACCTCTTCCTTAGCCCCATCCACGACTAGCATTTGGGTTCAGTGGGGTTTCTGGAACATCTCCTAGTGCTCTAACATAAGCTCGAATTGGGATGCATTCATCCTCTGGAGTGACCCTAGTGAACCTCCCAGATCTTCAAGAAGACATATCAACTACATATTTATGTTTATAACACAATAAGTATAACAAACATAAAGTTTATTCCAAATTATTAAAACTTCAAAAATAGACATATGTCTTGTTCACATCAAGTCACTCAAGCCAACAACCAAGAGAAATAATAAAAAAAAAGGACAAATCATTGCACTCCTACTTTCTAATTTTTAAAAACGATGTCATCATATTTCAATATTCTCTTTCCCTCCTTCAAGTACTTCCTTATCTTTTTAGCTTTTCGATATCCAGGACCACTTTGAATGACCAGCACCTCGTTCTGAGGTGGTTCTCCTCCAACCACCTTATCTAGGAATCCGTAAGTCGCGGCCTTGGCTTGTTTTGCTCGAGCCACATACCCTTCCCACAACTTAGTGATAGTGGGTTTCCTTAGCTCCAACACCTCCTGTTCCAAACTTCGTATATTGCGTTTACTTTTCTCAGTAGCATAAATCCTTATTTGGTTCTCCTATACGAGCCTTGACCTATGTTCATCTATCTCTTCAATATTTATTTTCAAACTGTGTATCTCGAGTTGTGCCTGTGGCATTTCATCTTTATAGAGTCGCTCCCAATAGGTACCAGGACTAGTTGGCGTGTACTCCACATAGGGAATATCGAATGTTTCGTACCTTTGTTTCATACAATACTCCACGTGATTTCCCTTGGGTTCCTCCTCGCGATCTTCTTCGGGTTCCTCATCAGGGTCTTCTGGAGGCTCCTCCTCTGGATCTTCTTCGGGCTCCACCTCGGATTCCACATCCTCGTCTTCTTCATCACATTCAGAGAGGCTGAGTGGAGTCGTTGGTTCTAGACTGTCTTCCGAATCAAAGAGCTCTAACTCGGCCTTCAACTTCTCATGGAGAAGTAACCCACTAGTACCCTCAACTGACACCCCACCATTGATGATGGCCTTTCCATGATCCATAGTACCTACAAACGAGGCGCATTCCAGATTAGGCGATGTACCGCTCCTCCCGTTTAAGCTTAGGCGTTTAAACAATGACTAATCTGCTTAAACAATGCTCTGATACCAACTTGTAACGTCCCAAATTTCAAATACCAAAATAAGTTAACATAGTCCCAAAACTTCCAAAAATCAACATTGAAACACTAATGTAATTATTAATAATAATAGCGGAAGAAAATAGGAATTTAATCAAACACTTGGTGCGCTACGTCTTCCTCAAAACTTGTCGCCTTCTTCATGTTTGAACTTTATCCTTTCCATTCCCGCTGCTACTTGTTACGTTATTTCTATATCTTAAATTTGAGTTATTATATCTATAATTTCGATTTTAACAGTTTTTTTTTTTCAATTGTGTCACTATATCTATAATTTTGGTACAATATCAAAACGGTTCTCCTGATAACAAATTTTTTTGAATTGTAATAAAGTCACTGTATTATCATAAAATTTTGATTTGCTACCGATTTTTGTTCAACTATGCTACTATATTTATAATTTTATTACAGTATCAACCGAATGACTGATTCAATGCAAACCCTATATTTGAAACTCAAGCTTGCCACATAAGATCTAACGTGGCGTCCATGTCTTAATATTGCAAAGTTATTTATTTGATAACTTGCTAGATTGATAATAACCGATCACTTGGAGCAACATTAATAATCGTTGAAGATAGTAGAGAGACAACAAGTTCAACAACGTTGATGTTGGTATACACCAGTGACATGAACTCCAGAAGAATGTCAGTCATCATTGGGTGAGTTACACAAGTAGGTCTTTTCTTGCCATATATCTGGGACACAAACTGGTCAAACATGAGATGAGTGAAATCTAGATGTTTATTCTTGACCATAGTGTACAAGATCCTGAGTTCAACCAAATTTAATTAGTCAAGACTTCTAATTTTATACCCTAAGCATTTACTGATGACACCAATGAGAAACATCCATCGAAAAGGAAGACATTGTCTGTAAACAAAAGTAGAACCATCTCGAGTTCCTTGAAGGGAAAGATCATACCCTAACCTGACACGCATAGACTTGCACTTCTTTTTAGATTGAGAAGCAAAAAGTAATCACATACCTCATCTTCAAAATTATGCTTTCTAAGTAAGGTTATAATCTTTTTAGACAGAGAAGTAGAAAGTAATCACATACCTCATCTTCCAAATTGTTCTTGCCTAGTTAGGGTATACTAACATCAACGATGTTGAACTGTTCCTCTACTATTTTCAAAGATTATTAATGTTGCTCTAAGTGATCAATTACCATCAATCTAACAAGTTAACAAATAAATGACATTGCAATAATATGATGTAGAAGTCACGTCGGATGTTATCTGATAGGATTGAGTTTAAAATTTAGGGTTTGTGTGAACCGAACATTTGGTTGATATTGCAACAAAATTGTAAATGTAATGACATTAATGAGAAAAAAAACACGATGTCAAAATCGAAATTTTATGTGTGTCTCTGTGTGTGTGTGTGTATATATATATATATATATATATATATATATATATATATATATATATATATATACACACACATATACCATTATACAAACCATATATAATGGTGGGCCATCTGGATTTTAAGACATTGTCTTAAAAAACAAGGAGAATGATCTTGACCTTTGGATCTAATTTCAATGGTTAAGATAGTGGTCCTTGTACATAAAAACCAACCAATCAAAAGAAAGCACACAGATTGCCATTATACCCGTCGATTATCAGTACAATCTAATGGCCACAGATACAATTCACATGGATCGAGACCTTCTTCTCCCAATTGATCCCGTCTTTTTGTTTCCTCACCTTTAAATGAAAATTACTTCACACCTTTTCCTCCTCCCTCCCTCTCAAACTCTCTATGACGATCACCACCATTCCCCCTGTGCCGACTTTACCACTACATCTCTTCATCGCACACCTCCATCGCCATTTTCTTCTTTTCTATCAAAAAGAGACTCATCTCTTCACTGTATGTCCGACAAACTGAAGTAGAGTGTCAAACAACATCAAAGATTTGGAAATCAAGAAGTTATGATCTTCACCAACACTTATTGTGTAATCAACTTCCATCAGCATCCTAAAGCCACACGTCACCACCATTAATCCGAACCTGAAGAAGGTCATCTTTTCTACAAGTTTTTATGCTCAGATATCAATTATATATCTAAACACAAACCAGAAGCCTCCATTAACCACTAACCAACACAAGACATTGCACAACCACTCAATGTCACCGTCTTTCACCTTATATATTTTTCTGGTATGCATTCACGGACACACACACACATGTACTCCTAGGTCTAACAACACACATTTCTCCTTCTATTTGCAGGTTAATTTCAACCATGATCTAAGATACATGTCTTTAATGACTTTTATGGCTATTAAAACCTAATCCATTGTCTGAGGTAAAAACAATTCCATTTCTTTTAGATTCTGATAAATATTTTGCATCAATATGCAAAAACATTTATTTGATCTTTGTCTTTTTGATGGTTACTCGAGTATTTATCAAATTTGTGTTTTCGGGTTGTGGTTTTCAAGCATTTGATCCTTTTAGTGCTCCCTAGTATCCAAGAAACAATGGATTTTTTAAAGTTTTTCTTTCTCTCACCACCACCGGACCACCGATCTTTCATCTCTCTTCCTCTCTCGATCTACATAAGTAAGTTAACAACCTATACTTTTCCTTATCAAAGATGGATCTAGTTTGTTTGTTTTTTTTTTGTTTTTTGTTTGTTTTTATGTTTTTCTTATTTGTTGCACGAGCATCTCTATTTACCCATATCATGTATGGTTTGTGGCTTTTAGGTAGTATTTAATGTACATTGAGTCGATTCAAATTTATTTAGGTTTTATTTTAATCTATTTGGATTTATCTATTTCTTTTGTATTTTTTTTTTGCTTATGGTTCAGACGTATTCCATGTATTTGTAGTAAATGATTGTGTTCTTGATCCAAAAAACATGTAGTTGTTACCGAGGAGTACAGAGTTTATATTGTTGGTTTTAACTTTGGTTGTACATGTAATTGTTAAATTCAGAAACTAGGAACATACAATACATTATGAAGTTCCTAGAAGTATAATTATGGCAATGGGTATCATGATTATTTATATCTGTACTTTTTTTAATCTTTGTTATCAGAAATTCATATATTTATAACTCTTTTCTGTTTTTTTAATGCAGATTGGGATTAGGCAAATTGGATGTTACTGGCAACCAAAAGATGCTTGGTTTAACGGATAGACTGAGATCAGATCTCAAAAATGTGTTGTCGAATTTACAAATGGAACATTAGGTAGAATCTTGTCTCTTTAATTTTACTAAATAGACAAAAAAAACCATCATTAAAGAATAGTGAATATGATTGTTACTTTTTTACTTCACCAGGGGGTTTCAGGAGATGCTAAATATACCATGGTTCAAATGTGTAAGAAGAGCATATGTAAGTATGATTTTGTATCTAGCTTTTATTTGGATGACATTGCTATAATTAGATCTTTTAAAATGCAGTGTACAATTGAAAATCAGAATGACATAATATAAAGTACGATGGGAAAAAGGAAGAGAAACAGAAAGAGAAGGGGATGAAACCATTGCAGTAAACAAACAAAATGATGGGATGAACTAAAATTTGAGATTTTGTTCTTGGTTCAAGTGTTGCTGCATGAATCAATGAATCACACCAGAATTCATTACCAAGTTGTGTCCTATTGTCACTCCATTTGTTCCCTGTCTTTCTTACTTTTGAATATGATGTTTTTATTATTTTATGATCTCCAAGGATATGCATAATGTACTCATTCGGTTTATAACTTATAAGTTGTAAGTTTTAATAATGGTATGAATTTTGATTGCATTATAATTTGGTTTATATACCATTATATACTTTGGTTGTTAATGCTAAAATGATACGAACACTTTAAATAAATAGCAGTTAATACTTGAAATGATACTTTCTAAGTTCTAGCTATTGATTATTAGTTATTACTAATTTACTATAAGTATTGGAAGTTTATTTTGTCATACATTGACAGCATGGTTAACATATAAATATCAGAACTATAAAATAAAAATTCAATAAAACTATTATAGTTTTAGTTTGTTCAATTCATTGGAAACAATTTGGACTAAAGTCAAAACTTTAAGATGTTCATTGGTTGAAGATAAAATTAGTATTCTACAAAAAATCAATAGCTAGTTGTTTGTATTAATCAATCTCAAATATGTGTATAAAATGTAATGTGATGTATAGAGAAGTTTTACATGATATGTAAATACAACTGTTGCAAATATTACTACCATCTTTGGCCGATAAAATTATGTGGCTTTTGGAATGTAATGTTTTCGTAGCAAAAAAATTATCAAATTCATTTATTATATTTGACCACCATATATGTTCATTTTAAATAATGCATAATATATTATATATTTGTGTATATTAGAAGTTAAATATAAGTATATCTTTAAACATGAAAAAAGACATATTTTTATTTTTAAATATTATACAACAACGTACTTTCATATATAACACAAAATATCAAAATATTTTTATTTAAAAAAAAATTAACGTGTTTTGATTTCAACATTATATTAATTTTTTTTATCTATAATAACAACTTACTTTTATTTTTATTTCGAAACAGCTTACCGATAAAAAAATAATTACAGAAAGAAACTACTTGCCGCTGCCGCATCTACATACCTAAGTACAAATTATTCCTCAAAAGGAACTATCATGTAGAAAACAATCGGCCAAAAGGCTGAAGGAAAGTACCTGACACGGAAAGAAAAGTAATCATTGCATGAAAATAATCTACCGAAATAAATTTTCTTGTGACGCCGCATCGCGCGGGTACCCTACTAGTATATATATATATATATATATATATATATATATATATATATATATATATATATATATATATATATATATATATATAT